AAAGAGTAAAAGCAGTTTGCAGTGTGTTTGTTGCAAAATGTTTATTCCTAGAACAGGAATTGGAAACCATATTTTGGATTACATATCTCATCATCTCTGATTATTCATCACAGTGGCTGCATTGTATAAAAATATAAACCAAAACACTTGGAGGATACTTGCCTAGCTCCATGAATTTCAGTATGTTGTTCTCAGAGGTCATGTGCATACATTCCTGACTATATTGGGCAGTTACTCCCATTGAACTTTATGAGATTTATTTCCAATAATAAAGGGCAAAACTAAGCAACACAATTCAATATAATTCTAAAGAACGTTCTTAGTGAATGAGTAGCTCAAGTTGGCATTATTAGTCACTATTCAAAAGTTATAGGTCTTAATTATGAGTGAAAATTAAACATTTGGCTATAAATATTTTGTACACAGAAGCTACAATTGCACTTCAGTTCCAATAAATGAAAGTTTTTTTGTGGAAGGATGTAGAAGGGAGAGAACTGTACAAACCATTGTGGTTATGATCCACTGCTAATATTTATTATTTTGCATAAATTTAAGAGCAGATTGCCCTTTCTACACAGTACTGTATAATGTATGTCTGAGAGTGTGTGTAGGTTCTGCTGCTTTGACAGTTCTACAAAGAATCAAAATGTTACTGTTAGAAGAATTACTAAACCTGTAAGGTATGAAAGAGTCACATGTATGTGTAGTATAAGATGCTTCAAGCAGCTACGTATACATATACGTATTTCATGAACCCATAGTTTTTACAAGATTATGATGCAAAAACAAAGGAATAAAACCATAATCTAGCCCCTACAAAACAAAACCCTGCTAACTGCAATATGCCTATAATATATGAAAATATGACCAATTTGTAATTTCCTGACCAAAATCAGCCTTCATCAGTGTCAAAGCCTCCATGGGGAGGGTAACAAGATTAGGAAGCCTTACTCCTGCTAGCACTTTTCAAAAACTTCCACTTGGGGTCCCCACCAACCCTAATGCTCCTGAAAATGCATGAGCAAAGTTTCTGCTAAGAAGCAGCTACAGGTTCATGGGGAAGCCGTAGATTAAGTGGAATTGAATCTCAGCTCACAAAGAGAGAGTGTAAAGAAAAATAAGGCAACATTGCATATGTAGCCCATTGACTCACCCATGTCAATATGCATGTACAGGTAGTCCTCAACTTATGATCACCATTGAACCCAAAATTTATGTTGCTAAGTGAGGCATTTGTTATGTGAGTTTTGCCCCATTTTATGATTTTTCTTGCCACAGTTGTTAAGTGAATCAATGCAGTTGTTAAGTTCGTAACATGGTTAAGTGAATCTGGCTTCCACATTGACTTAGCTTGTAAGATCGCAAGAGGTGATCACATGACCTTGGGACACTGCAAACATCATAAATATGGGACATCATAAATACAAATCAGTTCCCAAGCATCTGAATTTTGATCATGTGACCAGGGAGATGCTGCAATGGTCATAAGTGTGAAAAATAGTCTTAAATCACTTTTTTCAGTGTCATAGTAACTTTGAATGGTCAGTAAATCAACTGTTGTAAGTCAAGGATTGCCTATAATATATGAAGATGTGCTCTAAAATATTAATGAAAACAGATCAATTGATCCTTGACTGAGGACAGGATGAGATTATATTAATTTTATCTTCTATTTAATGCAATAAAGAAATATTGCTCCTGAAAGATAAAATTGTGTGAAACACACTGGATTATTATTATTTTTTTAGTAAATATTTCTGACTCATGTTCATCTAAAATTCATCAGTTTTTCACTGCAGGTTCTTTTCTAAGTCACCCTTGTTTTTTTGGAGAAAATAATCTTGAAAAATGTCTTTTGTAGGAATGTATATACTGAAAATGTGGGGAGGGATGCATGAAGGAGAATCTACTGGTTTTCTTCAACTATCTTGATGATGTTTTGACTTTGTTTCAGCATTACTGGAATGATTACTCATCAGTCATTTATTTGGGACTTCCTTGTTTGCTGATGTGATAATTAGAACAGGAACTTCTTTTTTTCATTTGAGAGACATAATGTACAGTGGAAACAAGTTCTATGATGCTATAAAGATTTATGTTATTTTGTGGACTATAACGTAATAGGCTCATAGGAACAAAGATATTTCTAACTCCTAATAATCTATTACTTTGTTAAACTTTAATTCATCAGACTTTTTGCTCTTATTCCTATAATAGATTTACCCTGGTAAATATAATGGCGAAGATATAAACTGAAATTACTATTTAGTTGCTGACTAAACTATTCAGAAAGTAAGTGTCTTGTTTTGACAATACCATTATAAATTCAGCTAAATGGCTTCTACATAGTCTATGGGGAAGGCACTGAAAAACCAAGAAATCTGCTCAAAAACCACTTGGGTTCTAGTATACTGTAGTACCTGTAGCTCTCCTTTGAATTATGCTGGTAGAGAGCGAGCGCCACCTAGAGCCACCTAGTCTCCACTGTTCTGGATGAAGTAGAAACACATTCAGGAAATTAGGAAAGAGGCAGGTTTCATAATTGCATAACTGCACTGACTGGATAGTATGAAACCATCATGTTATATTTTTGAGGCAATAGCACAATATCCAGTTAATTCTTCTGGAACCATAGGAATCCTGTTAGTTAACTTCCACCCAAAGGTGGATTTGCTCAAACCATATTCCCTAAACCAATTTTTCTCAAACTGAGTGTCTTCTAAATTTCAGTTCTGTAAATTTGCAGGCAGGCCTATATTGGCCAGAGGATCCTAAAGGGACCTCAGGTTGGAGAAGGATGGCTAATGACAGCTAATTATTTGTATTTAGAACAGAAATTCTATACTCGTTCTTTATATAGTTCAGTTATTTTTTCCTCCCTATAACGTTTCCTTTCACAAATTGGCTATTATGATTTCCCCCAATTTGTACTACAAATCATCTCCCTGGTAAAACCAATTAAAACCTGTTTGCATCTGCCAGTTAAGCACATAACTGATGACTAACAGAGACTTTATTTTAAAGAGGCACTTCATGAAAGGGAACTGAAAAAAATGTTTTTGGAAACTTAAAAACAGATGAGTGCAGCTGTTAACACATGAGTGCAGCTGTTTGTGAGTGCAGCTGTTAACACATTCAGCTCCCTGTCATAGACAATATATGCATGCACATACTCTAGCCCCTATACTGGCAGCATGGTGGGAAAATAAAGCACAGGTTTTTTTTAAAAAAAAAACACATTAATATTTCTGGTAGTGAACAAGCAGACTGTTAAGTGTAAGGATTACTAGGTTTGCATTCAGAAGTCCCAAGGAATATGTTATGGCCACCTAGATACTTTAACAATATTTTATCTGCACAGCACTTTTTTTGGACTATTGCTGTCTGTTGTTTTTTTCGAGATTCATTTAGAGATGGGAAGAGAATTATTAAGAGAGATAAGAGAATATATCTGATAATGGACACCTAAGAAGCTGATCCTGGCTGATTTGGTCAGAGTTGTATGAGATTATTAAAGACAAGTTAAAAGTAAGTTTATTCTTTTTGGGGGGGCATATCTTGTAATAAACTTCCCCTTTGTGGCTACTATGTTTTCTCACGGGATATGTACTTATACATATTTTAAGAAGTACAATGCAATTCTCTCCTGTATCTGATCATATCATCTGCTTCCTGTTAAATTTTGCTGTGAACAACAACATTTTTACTTAGTAAAATAAAATGGCTTTGCATTGCAGATACAATTATAAACCATTGATCCTGGTGGCTC